ATGGAGGGACGTGTCTTTTGAAGTGACAGAAAGCTGCAAATTCGAAAGAAATGGCGTAATGTGGGTCCCAGGCAAGAAGAACTAGATTCGATGGAAATGAGATTTGTGTCTCACCGATCGATTTTCCTGGGAGGGATTGAAATATTTGTGCCAGGATGCTGTTGTTTGAGGAGGAAGAGAGAGAGAGAGAAAGAGAGAGAGAGAGAGATGTTGGTGCTGTAGTAGAATTTGAAGTTTCATTTATAAATTGGCTCTCAGAGTGCATCAAGCTCATCGGGGAGCCATACACATGCAAATACAGTACGAGTCTAGCAAACAAGACCAATTGTTTTAGTGTTTTCCCTAAACAACAGCTGTTGTTGGTAAGTTTCTTTCTCCTTGGTTTCATTTGTCTCAAAACCGAATTAACCTCCGGCATATTGTTATAGAGGGAGTGATATTGGATATTCACACTGGGGTTTTATCATTTTAATATATTTTTAACTGAATATCAAACCTAGACTTTACACTAGAGGCCTGCAATCCTGCGGGGCTACCGCAGAATCAATGCAACAGAGTGCTGCGTGGGACAAAATTTGATGGGGGAGTGCGGGTGGTAAGAAGCTGTGTGTACGGGTTGCGGGAGAATAAAATGATTTGCAGGACTCCCGCAAAATAGAAATATTGAGAAAAAATTGTTATTCATCTATTGCACAAAAGCAACAGGAACAAAAAGCGATATACAGGTGCAAGCATAGGCGGAGTGTGTGTAAGGCCTGCTGCTGCTTCTGATTGCTTTTAGAGGGAAAAGCTGCCTATAACTTTTGGTCTAGGATCAGTTTTCTCCTTAATATTAGCATATTGGCAAAACAGATTTGGCAAGCGATCCAGTGCATATCTGTGTTTGCGCTCTAGGGAGCCTCAAAGGTTTCTATTTACAATGTGTTTTTGCAGCGTTGGGCAATGTAGCCAATCACAAACACATATGTTGATTTCTTGAATGCAATGGCCAATCACAAGTGTTTAAGTTAGAATCCATTCACCGGTGAGGGATGAGGGATTCATTGCGTAATCAGCATCGTTGTTTATAACAGAACTTTAGATTAACTTTAGATTAGTTTACCTAAAATGAGTGTCAGTTTTTAGTGATTATAAAGGGAGCGCTCTTTGCAGGCTTTCTGCCATGTCAAATGCCAGAATGTTGTTTTGCGGGCGGGAGCAGAACACAACATGAATGTTGTGAGTGGGAGCGGGAGAAAGGTAACATATTTTTGCAGGAGTGGGAATCCCACGGGAGCAGGACTGAAAAATCCGTCCCGCACAGACCTCTACTGTATACCCACACTGTACTGTATATAAGGGACACCAGGGCTATTTGTTACCCTTTACTCCAGTACCATAAAGTCCATAAGGTTACCAAAAATATTAAATTCTTTTATTCAGCAAAGACACATTCAATTGATCAAAAGTGACAGTAAAAACATGTATAATGATAATAAAAGTTATCTTTCAAATAAATACTGTAAACATTCTATTCATCAAAGAATTCTGAAAAAAAAAATCATGGTTTCCACTAAAATATTAGGCAGCTGTTTTCAACAATGATATTCATGAGCACCAAATCAGCATATTAAGATGATTTATGAAGGATCATGTGACACTGAAGGAGTAATTACATTTTAAAATAGATTTTTACAAAACAGTTACTTTAAATTTGGTAACACTTTATTTTAATGTGTCCTTGTTACATTTTACATGTATTTACTGTAATAACTATAAACTAGGCATAATTACATGCAACTAACCCTAAACCAAACCCTAATCCTACCCTAACCCTATAGTAAGTACATGTAGTTAGTTAATATTACTCAGTACTTAAATGTATAATTACACTGTAACAGGGACACATTAAAATAAAGTGTAACCTTAAATGGAAATAATTATTCACAATATTACAATTTTTACTGTATTTTTTTATCAAATAAATGCTGCCTTGGTGAGGATAAGAGACTTATTTAAAAAAAAAAAAGTAAAAAACAAACAAACAAAAAAAACGTACAGATATATAATTTTGTTAAAATGTATGTATAATTGGACTGAAACCTTTATAGTTACTGAGCTGCAGGTTTTGTGACAACTAGCCCTGGTCTACTCTATGCACATATGCAGAATGGATTCTGGTATGTGCCAATCTTGTTTACACCTGTTTAACGATCACTGGGTTTGGGTTACAAATGGATGATCAACTTGGTTTCAGAACCCAGCAGGAGTACAAAAAGAGCTCCATCTCCCTGTTAAATTAGTCTGGCCCGGCGGCTGTGTTTCCAGCCAAGAGTGAATGGAGTGATTGATTGAGGCTGGTGTGAGCTGAGGTGAGGGAAAACAGGAAGCAGTCCATGCAGATAACATTGGTGGAGCAAACTCTTGGCCCTAGAGTTTAATGAGGCGTAGACTTCATACTGGGAATCACCACAGACCGCCTGAAGGCCAGGTGAGGCGTGCACACATGTGTCTTTTGGCCATGTTTCTTGTGCACCTGCATCCATCCCAGCATTGCTGGATCAACGGCGTTCACAAGTACCAGCTGTACGGCGTGTGTCAGAGACCACTCACCATCTGTCAGAATGTCTGTCCATCACCACAATGATCATTTTTGCTGTTGTTTGTTTATTTTCTTCTGCTTGGCATCTCTTCAGTCACTCAGGGTTGTTGGCTTCCTGCCTGCAACTGCCATGTGTGGGTCTCTCCTGTATCTGTCAGCCCTGTCGGCGGAAATGTGCAGGTCTTTATTCCAGGCTCCTTAGTGGAATAGCAGGAGTCATTGCTACTAATTAAGTGTGGTGGAGATGAAATTCCTGAAGCTGATGGGCTGTCTGGTCGAGCTGTTACTCCATTTTATTGTTAGCTAATTTCGGGATTGTTTCCTTCTGTGGAGACCTAGGGTACATCAATGTCATAAATTTATGCCACACTGAACAGTTAATTTATAAGCACATTCTCTCTTTTGACGGAAGGCTGGAGATGTAGTCACGCATCAAGCATTTGCATGGAGCTCTAACACATAGTACATTTTACACGTATTTCCCCTGGAGCCGCCTTGCGGAATAGAGCTTGTTTTAAGTAATTCGACTCTTGCATATATAACGACAGCAGCCAGCAGTGTGTCATCTGCTGAAATAGGGTTTTTCAACTCTAAATGATTGTGAAGCTCCAATGATTTTTAAACAGTGCTAGCATCCATCTGTGATTCATCTCTACAGGTTAATGAAGTAAATTAGCAAACTATTGTTTCGCCATGAAAGACAGTGTGTGCTTGTGTGATTTTGTGTGTGTGCATACTTGTCTGTGCTGTAGTCACAAGCTTGTGTGTATGTTTGCCTCCAGTGCACTTGCCAGCTCTACACTGTGTATGGATTGCCTCTGCTTCCTTCTCGGCATGCAGATGTGGGCATTTGCACGCACATCAGCGCTTGAGAATGGCAGTCCGGCAGCCCCTAGAGCACTGTGTGCGCTCCCAAAGAGCCAAGTGTTAATCCTTTTGAGCGTGTTGTGTCTTTACACACAGAGGGAATTAGTACTCGTATCTGTGGGTAGACCGTGAAGTACTCTTGAAATCTCAAGCACTGTAATTACCATTGTCTGCATGTTATAAGCAGCCATCAAACAGCTGTTCAGTCATGTGGTAGATTCTGTAGCCGTGGTTGTGTTCAAACAGTATAGCATGGCACTAGCTACTGTAAAAAAAACAACTAAAAAAACCTTTAATTCTGGAGTTTTTAAATTCGTTTGGATAAATGCATCTTTCGAATGAATAAATGTATATGTAATGTAAATGTAGTAGATTTGGAACAAGGAAAGATGCATTTTTAGTGTATGCATGGTTTCTGTAAATGGCAGCTTTTTAAGAACAAAATAGATTTATTTAAACAAGAATGTCCTTGACTCAAAAGGCTTACTTGACCTTTACATCCTTTTTCCTGAACTTTGAAAATCATTTGTAGTTAAACTGAATTTATTCTGTGCTGGTTGTGCTGGATCTAAAAACGTTCAAAGTATTGCTTCTATTATTATTTATTTATTAACAGTATTGTTTAAGAATCATCCATGGACAACAAAGATTTCTTGGAGTTCATTTACATTTGTTATATATTGTACAGTAACTGGCTATTTTATTTCATTTTTTAAGTTCCTTTAAGAAGACTAAAATAATTTTATGGCACAGTTTATCTGACATATCGATTAGTAAAAAAATAAAAATAAAAGGGCTGTCAAATGTGTAACTGGATGGATGGAACCAAGATGGTTTGTGTCTGGCCTCCCATAGAAATCATGTGATTTTAATGTCTTCTCATTAACATAATAATTCACCTAATATTTCATAGTTGATTTGTTGAAATTAATAAATGATTAATTTAAATGGTGCACTATGGATGGATGGATCTTATGGGTGGGTGGATGGATGGATGGATCTTATGGGTGGGTGGATGGATGGATGGATGGATCTTATGGGTGGATGGATGGATGGATCTTATGGGTGGATGGATGGATGGATGGATCTTATGGGTGGGTGGGTGGATGGATGGATGGATCTTATGGGTGTGTTGATGGATGGATGGATCTTATGGGTGGATGGATGGATGGATCGTATGGGTGGATGGATGGATGGATCTTATGGGTGGGTGGATGGATGGATGGATCTTATGGGTGTGTTGATGGATGGATGGATCTTATGGGTGGATGGATGGATCTGATGGAAGGATGGATGGATGGATGGATGGATGGATGGATCTTATGGGTGTGTTGATGGATGGATGGATGGATGGATCTTATGGGTGTGTTGATGGATGGATGGATGAATGGATGGATCTTATGGTTGGAAGGATAGATAGATGAATTGATGGCTGGATGGAACCAAGATGGTTTGTCACTGGCCTGCCTTTAGAAGTCCTGTAATGGTCTTCTCATCAACATAATATTTCATAGTTGATTTGTTAAACTTTCCATTTCCTTTGTGTTTGCAGATGGAACGCCTTACACGTGGTGGGTCGGCCGCGGTAACGAGAAGCACTTTTACTGGGGCGGCTCTGCTCCTGGCATTCAGAAATGTGCATGTGGCATTGAGCGCAACTGCACCGACTCCAGATACTACTGCAACTGTGATGCCGACCAGAAACAGTGGTAAGTCGCCACATTATTTGAGTTGCAATATGCTGTTTCCATAGCGATCGCCAAATCCGGCAGCTAATTATGAGCTTTAGTTTAAGCTGCTATTTGCGAGTTACTGACCTTCTTAGCTCACCTATCAAACTTATGAGAGGCAAGCAAGTCATGTTCCCATCTGTCTTATTGTCTCTCTGTATTCATTAAATAGTGGCGTCTGCTGGAGGACACGGTGTTCTCGAGTCTCGACCTCAGCGCTTGTGCAAATGGCAAACAGATTGCGTTGATAAAGAAGTTTGAGTAGGGCCGAACCCTGATATTTCCATCAACAAAAGCTGGCTGGTGTGTTTGGTGGCTTTATTACAAAAGAGAGCTGTGGGCGATATTACAGAGGAGGGGAACAAGGTCATTCGTCAGGCGCCCTCATAGAATTGTCTTTAATGCATGTGGGTATGTATTGCTTTGAGACACATTCATTTACATCTTTTCTAATGGGTCTTTTTATGTTAGCTGTTAATGTCAGTCAGCTGTTAAAGAACAGAGAGAGAAACAACCCACCTTAACACAATAAACTCTTAGATGTGCAAAGTGAATAAGAGGGAAAGGCAGTTAGTATTACCATTTCCATAGCGCTTAGATGTGGGCAGTGGGCACAGTTGTTTTCTGAGCCAATCACTTAGTGTAACTGAACACTGTGGATCTGCAGCAAAATTACATCATGACAAAACTGATTGACTGACTCACCACGAGAGACTAAAGTTTGGGACTTAAAGAGAGTGTTGTTATTGTTAACTATCACTTAAACTATTAAAAACAAAAGTTTTTCAGTTATTTGTGCAAAGCTAAAATAAAAATAAAAAATATTAGATGAAAACTTAACCTTATAAAACCTTAAATGAAAATTTGAATTGTTGCCTTGGCAAATAACTCAAATAAGTTTAAGCTGAAGTACTAAAATTACTAAAACAAAAACTGAAATAAAAAAAAATAGATTAAAGCTATATGGAAATGTTAAATAAGTCATTAAAATTCCAAAAGCGCATACAATTATTAAAACTTAAAATGAAAACTGAAAATATATTTTTAAAAAAGCTAAAGAAATTAATGAAAAGTTTTAAGAGCGCTGCCAAACAAAATTGGCCACTGGTGAAACATTTATAGTGGTTAAACAAATTCAGTTTTTTTTTTTTTTAAAGTCAGTCACAGTAAAGATTCCATTTATATGAATGCATTAGAGAGAAAGCGATTGCGTGTGAATTAATTTTACCTGGCAGCGTTTTTTTTTATAATAGTGCATCTGTGTTTTAGCTACTAAAAAATATATGCTAGAACTATTCAGTTTCTAAACTATTTTATTGATAAACCACAGAACAGATTTGACAATACATTTCTGCTAGTGCTGTCAGTTAAACGCGTTATTAACGGCGTAAAAAAATGTATCGGGCGATTAACGGCCTTTTTGGCCTAGCAAACCTTTGTAGTTTTTTTCACATGCTTTTGCAACAGGACGCGGTATGCGCGTCCCATTCATGAAACCCATTCATTTCGATGGCTTGCGCCGCGTGAGGACGTTTTGTTGCTTCGTCGACCAAAGCGCAAGCGGATCTAGCTAGACCGGAAACAAAACAACAGGCACGCTGCGGCACACACTTGTTTGGGCTTGCGAGCCGGCCAAATAGTAGGTTAACGTTACGTTTTTAGTGGATGACGAGCGCGAGACGCCGAAATGGATGCCAATAAGATACTGAATGGAAAGTTTACTTTTAAAAAGTTGCCAAATGGTTCCATTGATAAGACCAAAGTGATCTGCGTGTTTTGTCGTTGTGAACTGAGCTATCATCGCAGCACGTCCAGTCTGAAACACCACTTGATGGCTAAGCACACACAGAGGCGGTCTTAACATAGAGGCATAGGTAGGCGGCTGCTTGGGGCCCCCTACCAGCAGTCGTAGTAGGGGGGCCCCCAACCAACCTCAAAAAAAAAAAATAGAAAAGAAAAGAAAAAGCCCCTTATCATCATGAACGCTTCAAAAGCATAGTAAATGTTATTAAAATTCTTAAGAAATACGTTGAAATGTTGAAGTAGTAGTTAAAATGTCCAGTTCATGGTTATCTGTCCCTACACATAACACCCCCTACTTTCACAATAAAATGGACTAGTCCGTAACGGTGCGCGGCGCGAAACCGCGAAAGATAAACATGACAGGGGGACTGGGAAGTACACAACGAACCAAGACGAGTCTAAACTCTAAACGTGAAAATGAAACGAAGCGGCTCAAAAATGACAAACCTTTTTACGCCTACTGTTGGGGACACATGCCGCTACAGCAGCAGCTGTGAAGTGACGCTAGTTAACGCTAGAAAATGTACATTTTTTGGCTTTCAATTACACTGTAATGTTGGATGGCTGGCTATAATTAATGTTTAAAATTAGGGGGAAAAAATCATTTTTATCCAGTCATCAATAGCTGTATCAGTGACACCGACCTTCATTCATAAAAAGATGCCATTAAACAAGTATTTAAAATATACTGTCGTTATGTTTTCTCTACATTCATTTGTAGATTAACTGTGAAATTATTACATTATAAAATATATAAACTAATACAAACCTATAAAAATGTTTGTTTGTAGAATGTTTGAAATGTTAATCTCATGTGCAATGCCAATTGCAACCTCACTCACTCATACAAAGTCAATTATTCATCTTGGCAATATTTGCGAAGTATATGGCTGTTTGTGGGGGTTTGATTTGATCTTAAAATTTTGGCAAAGACAGGTGTTATCTGAAACCTTATTCTCTGTTGGGGAAGGTTTTTTTCTCCTTTCCAACCTTTACTTCCCCGTAGATTAGCTTTTCCTACCATTTCGGTAAAAAAAAAATGTCCTTCTCATAAAGATGGGATGGGGGGGGGCCCATATACGTACCTTCGCTTTGGGCCCCCAATTTGCTAAATCCGCCACTGAGCACACACACACAGCTGATGCGAATTCTCCGCCCCCTCGTCAATATCAGGACCTCGTCAGTATTTCTTTCACACTTTTATTGATGGACAGTGTTACATTGTGTGAGAGATTATTTGCTCCAAGTGAGAATGTTAGTGTGAAATTGAACACAGTATATGTTGTTTTCAATAAAAAAAACCTTTGCACGAAGCAAGCCAATCCACTTTTCCATGTTGATATGCATTTAAATGAGAAAAAAATAATGGGACAAAAATAAATCAAGAGACATTTAGAATAGATAAAAATGTGCGATTAATCGCGAGTTAACTATGACATTAATGCGATTAATCGCGATTAAATATTTTAATCGTTTGACAGCACTAATTTCTGCGCTTCTGAATGTTTCTGTATGCGCGCAATCATAGACTGTAAAAAAAGATGGACGACACCCCTTCGCTCTTTTCCATTGGAGAGAACTGAAGCCGCCAGTGTCCCAATGTGGCGCTGACATATTGGAACTTGAGTCTGCGCAGTAGCGTTTTCGGGACCAGTCATGCGCAGTCGTGAGCAGGAAGTAAAGCCGCGAAATCAAGGCCCTGCCCCCACTCTCGCTGAATCAATCGTAAGCACACGCCCCTGCACTTTTCTTAAGTGGCCTTGTCTGCTCTGTTCCTCTCCAATGATGTCTGCTGATTGCAGTACCTCGTTAAAATAAGGTAAATACAACTACTAACCACATAGTCAACATTATGAAAAAAGTCCGTTAGTACTTCAGTGACTACTTCGCACAGAGAAGCTGTCAATCACAGCTGTCAATCATGATGTCACAGCACCGTTTTTATAGCATCAAATAACTAACTAAAAACGAACTTATTTTAAAAACAAACACTTGAAATTCCATCAACGTGATACTACAGTAAATTACAGAAACTATCTTTAGAAAAAAGATATGTGAAGTGTAATTTAATTATTTAGTTGGTCTCACGTCCCGTTGAATAACATGGGGAGGCGGGGCTTATGACCTATACTAGGACCGGTCACCGGGGGGCGATCGAGACGTTTTGGCTTCACTTTTGAGGGCTTGTGTGGCACGCTTGCGCGCAATCTGCTCATGATGCGCAAGCTTCTGTATGTGTGTGCGGTTCAATGCAGCAGCGCATTCGTTTAGAACGACGAGTAACTGACGTGTACAATAAGCTGTTTAAAATGTGCATTCACCCAATCAATTTTGAGCATCTATGGTATAATCAAACATATATTGTGGAGTGCTCTCAGAGTATGCATTTATTTGTCATTTGAACTGTTTGGACACGGAGCTTTAAAGTGGACTTCAAGATTTTTTATCCTGTTGCGCCCTCTATAGGCCATGATCATTGACTAGTCGACGTCAAGCTTAAAGCATCATGGCAGAGCATTAAAGTCGACTAGTCTGTGCAACCCCTACTAAACTATAATGAAATATTAGCATTATATATGTAAAATTTTATATAATCAGAACACATGTTTTTGCCCACTCTGTGTGTACAGTAGTTACCACCATGGGTTAACTAGATCATGCTAACCAGATAATCCATAGCCCCTTAGTGCTCATAACTATACTGAATCATTCATGACTAAAATAGTTCAGTGTAATAAAAAATGTTTTGTTTTCACCAATATTTGTTTGTGGTCTAACCTAGACATTGATGCATATTAGAGTACTGCACCATTAGTTTAGCAACATGTTAACATAATGTCCTAAGGGTGTGTTAATCTCCATTGTTAAAAGCGCTATATAAATGAAGATGACTTGACTTGACTTGACTTGACTTGTTAACACTTGGCAGGTTTGTCAACTCTGGTGTGATTGCTCTGTAAGTGTGGTTCATTTGAACTGTGAACACTGCCATCCGAACCTAATTAATTGTTGCGGTTCACATGAAATATGAATGCAACATGGACCAAAGACATCTAAATGAACCAAAAACCGGACGTGATGTCATGAGATGCGACCCTAAAAATGACCAAAAAAGGCCAAAAAATCTCAAGCATATCTGTTTTTTCCTATCATAGCTACGTTCCCAATTACAGTTTGATACAGGCATTGAAAACGCTGTCTCCTTGCAGCAGATCTTCGTTTGTGTGCAATGGAGGAATTCCTTACACTGGTTTTTACTCCTTTACACATTGTATAAGCTCTTTGCGAGTTCTTAGATACCAATTATACACTCACCGGCCACTTTATTAGGTACACCTGTCCAACTGCTCGTTAACACTTAATTTCTAAGCAGCCAATCACATGGCGGCAACTCAGTGCATTTAGGCATGTAGACATGGTCAAGACAATCTCCTGCAGTTCAAACTGAGCATCAGTATGGGGAAGAAAGGTGATTTGAGTGACTTTGAACGTGGCATGATTGTTGGTGCCAGAAGGGCTGGTCTGAGTATTTCAGAAACTGCTAATCTACTGGGATTTTCACGCACAACCATCTCTAGGGTTTACAGAGAATGGTCCGAAAAAGAAAAAACATCCAGTGAGCGGCAGTCCTGTGGGCGGAAATGCCTTGTTGATGCCAGAGGTCAGAGGAGAATGGCCAGACTGGTTCGAGCTGATAGAAGAGCAACAGTGACTGAAATAACCACTCGTTACAACCGAGGTATGCAGCAAAGCATTTGTGAAGCCACAACACGCACAACCTTGAGGCGGATGGGCTACAACAGCAGAAGACTCCACCGGGTACCACTCATCTCCACTACAAATAGGAAAAAGAGGCTACAATTTGCAAGAGCTCACCAAAATTGAACAGTTGAAGACTGGAAAAATGTTGCCTGGTCTGATGAGTCTCGATTTCTGTTGAGACATTCAGATGTTAGAGTCAGAATTTGGCGTAAACAGAATGAGAACATGGAACCATCATGCCTTGTTACCACTGTGCAGGCTGGTGGTGGTGGTGTAATGGTGTGGGGGATGTTTTCCTGGCACACTTTAGGCCCCTTAGTGCCAATTGGGCATCGTTTAAATGCCACGGCCTACCTGAGCATTGTTTCTGACCATGTCCATCCCTTTATGGCCACCATGTACCCATCCTCTGATGGCTACTTCCACCATGTCACAAAGCTCTAATCATTTCAAATTGGTTTCTTGAACATGACAATGAGTTTACTGTACTAAAATGGCCTCCACAGTCACCAGATCTCAACCCAATAGAGCATCTTTGGGATGTGGTGGAACGGGAGATTCGCATCATGGATGTGCAGCCGACAAATCTGCGGCAACTGTGTGATGCCATCATGTCAATATGGACCAAACTCCCTGAGGAATGCTTCCAGCACCTTGTTGAATCTATGCCACGAAGAATTGAGGCAGTTCTGAAGGCAAAAGGGGGTCCAACCCGTTACTAGCATGGGGTACCTAATAAAGTGGCCGGTGAGTGTATGTACGCACATAAAATTAGCGCATTTAGCCCAGCATGAAACATCGCTTTGGATGTTCGGTAAGTTCCGTTGCAAAATATGTCATAAAAGCTTTTTGTATTCTGTATAATCGCTCAATCGTCCGTGACAGTTAGGTTGCAGCTTTAGGGAGATGGTCCTCACTGCAGAACATGAAATCCACGGGGAGTGGTCGGATCCAGATCCAACTCCTCCCACCTTACATATACCTAAACCTACCCATCTCCGCCCCCTGATCCCTAAACCCACCCCTAATCCTACCCATCTCCACCCCTTGGATCTTGATCCGACTCCTCCCACCTTACATATACCTAAACCTACCCATCTCCGCCCCCTGATCCCTAAACCTACCCCTAATCCCTAAACCCACCCCTAATCCCTAAACCCACCCCTAATCCTACCCATCTCCACCCCTTGGATCCAGATCTAACTCCTCCCACCTTACATATACCTAAACCTACCCATCTCCGCCCCCTGATCCCTAAACCCACCCCTAATCCCTAAACCCACCCCTAATCCTACCCATCTCCTCCCCTTGGATCTTGATCCGACTCCTCCCCGTGGATCTCATGTACTGCATTGAGGTGCTACTGGCTTTAGAGGCCATTTACACAATGTTTTTTGATAACACTTCATTTTGATGGTCCCTTTTAAACATTCTGTTGACTATAAGTAACTTGGCAACTACATGTCAACTAACTCTTATTAGAGTATTGGTAGACTGTCTGCTTAAAATCGGTTAACTCTTTATTGTGATGGTCCTTCAACAGACATTCTACTCACTAGAAGTAATTTTACATGTACATTTCAACTTATTCTATCCTTAACACTACCAATACTCTACTAACACTCTAATATGAGTTAGTAGACATGTAGGTGCAAAGTTACTTATAGTCAACAGAATGTGTTAAATGGACCATCAAAATAAAGTGAAACTCATGTTTATGCATTTTACTGCGCTGCATTTCCAATTCCAGTGTTTTGGACGTGTTTAATGACTGCTGCACCTGCGTCTCGCATTTTGCGTCCTTTACAGCATCTCATGCATGACACCATGGTCCAAAAAATGTGGTGCTCAAATTAAAATAAACTTTTTACAAAATGTGTCTGTAGACACATTATTCCACTGCTCTGCATCTCGCATTTTTAAATGCAAAAAACACATTTTCTGTGATAGGCAGTTTACTAGGTCTTGGAACAGCTAGAGACTGTCAGAGACATTGGCAACCATTGGCGCTCCACAGGAAGTGTATTGGATGGATTAATAACCAAACAGACTTTACGTGCCCCTGGGTAACTGTGTGTTTGTGTTTGTTTGTCTAATGTGCATTGTGTTTGTTTATGCTTTTATTATCATCTTTTAATACTATATTCATAAGGTAAACGGCCTCAGTCAGTGAGTGGAGCCATACTAATATTTGTGTTTTCCTGATGGATATATTTTTTGATACATTTCGTGAATGTTTATACAATTAGACTGATGGAGTTTGCCTCTTCTGTTGCTGGTTTAGCTGAACACACAGCAATGTGTGTTAATGGCCCATGCACAGATGGACAGCGGGTTATTGCGATGCTCTCGCCACTTGTCATAAACCCCAAGCAAACTGAACCACCATGCGTAATAGATGCAAATTAGGACATTGGATTTCTAACCACATTGTTTAATTTTTTTCTCTCTACAGGTTTGCAATACATAATTGTTTTTTAGATGACTGTTGCAGTTTTGCACTGTTGATGGATGGTGGCATTAAAAAATAATGCACACACATAGTGCCCTGCCTCATCTACCTGTGAGGTTTATGTGTGAATGTGTTTACTAATGTTTATTAAATTTGCAAAATATGTGAAGTGAGTGTTTTCACTGATTAAACAAATTGTATTGCTATAATTAAACAGCTAGTCATCAGTGTCAGAAGGCTGCTTTTGAGAGAGAAAACAGGCATTTCGCTTATTAAAGCTTTAATGAGTTCATTAATAAGGTTTAGTACTGTGATATGTCAGTGTAGTCTATTGTGAGCAGATAAGAAGAAATGGTTTTTCTCACATTTTATTAAGAATTACATTGTTTGGTAGGAGGGATGATTCCGGGCTTCTGGTGTATAAAGACCACTTACCGGTCAGCCAAGTGGCTGTTGGGGACACAAATCGACCCGGCTCGGAGGCCAAGCTGACTGTGGGACCTCTCCGTTGCCATGGAGACCGTAAGTCTATTTCTTTCTCCTTAAATAATATCCAGCTTCGTCTCACAAGAACACAGCTCATGTGGATTAATACATGAATAGCTGAACATATATGACTAATTATGTAGTTCAAATACTTGATTAAATTATGTAAACAGTTAAATGTTGTTTGCATACTATTCTGTGCAAGCACTTTTTCTTTGTAATGTGAAAGTGGGATTCAAAGTCACGTGTGTGCCGGTAGTTGCTGTGTATGAAATTATGTCTATGAAACTTTGATGCCTTCACATGGTGTCCTTGCAATTAAAAAATCTTCCGCACTTGACATATGTTGTAATAATCTGTATTGCCAAAGGATTTGTTTTAATGGTATCTTCTTTAAATAGACGTTTAGCACTTTTCAAGGTCAGCCCATTGTCTGAAACATTCTGAAAAAGGACACATGGCCATAGATGTCTCCAGTGTAACAGTCCTGAAGCTGTGATCTTCAATCAAAGCTTTTCATTCAACATTACACCCCACAGAGACCCCCTGCCACTCATTTTTTTAAATTGGTGTCAACAGCCAGCTTGCCATATCTTCATAAAAATTCATCATTTTTGTCTCTGAGCAATTGTAAAGTAGGCTACACTGAGACAGTGCTTTAAAACCAGTTTCATTTTTTTTTTAACATTTATTTATTTATTTGTGAGTCAGGTGCAATTATTAATGATATTATAAAATTATAAAATAGTTTCACCGGAGCGAAACAGAGAACCCAAGGGTAAAACACAGAGCCATCCCCCACCATCATCACCATGTGAAATGATGCATTTGTATGCCTCATTATTCCTGTTAATTGCATTTGGCGTATTACTTAGATCAGGTGCATTCGATTACACTCACCTGTTAGACAAGTACGTCCACTGCTGTTTTTTACCCTTTTGTCTTCTTATTGTTTCCGCACAGCTGTGACGGTTATTCAGTTCTAGGGACTTTAGATTTTTTAAAGTAGACATTTATGTGACGAAAGTCGAGTCAACTAGTCTCTGATGACGTCATTAATGTACAAATAGGCCTGAACCTCGAGCTGAGACTCGAATGTGGGTTGCCATGTGCAGAGCTATAGACACAGTGCTGCCCACAAGGCTATACACATAACAGCTCATTTTTATCAGCTCTTTTGTCTTTGGGTCGTTATATTTCTCACAGATTTCTGCTCGTTCTAAATCAGATACAGATAAAGTACCACAGTAAACACTTATATGAATGCATTAGTGAGAGAGCGATTGCGTGTGACTTGATTCTACCTGGCAGCATCTCTCTAATAATATTGAATCTGTGGGTTTTAGTTACTAATAAATATACGCTAGAACTTCTCAGTTTCTAATATATTTTATTGATAAATCACACAACAGTGTTGACAATACATTTCTGTGCTACTGAATGATTCTCTGTGCGTGCGATTTCTGCGTGATGCGCAAGCTTCTGTATGTGTGTGCGTTACAATGCAGCACCCAATAGTTTAGAACTTACGTGTACAATAAGCTGATTAAAATGCAGATCAATTTTGAGCGTCTAGATAGTACAATCAAACATTTTGTGGAGTGCTCTCAGTATGCATTTATTTGTCATTTGAATTGTTTGGACACGGAGCTTTAAAGTGGACTTCAAGATTTCTTATCCTGTTGCGCCCTCTATAGGCCATGATCATTGACTAGTCGACGTCAGGTTTAAAGCGTCATGGCAGAGCATTAAAGTCGACTAGTCGGTGCAACACCCATTCGGTGCTCTTGCTCTATAGGGTATGTAATATTAACTTTTCATCAGGTTCTTCCAACTACTGGACCTACGCCCTGGGAACATTATGGACATTTCAAGAAAAGAAGAAAGTGACAGAATTAGAATTTTGTCCTCTGGATTTAACCCATCCAAGTTAGTGCACACACATTAGGAGTAGTGAGTAGTGAACACACACACACACTACAAACCCTGGACACACACACCCAGAGCAGTTAGGTGCCTCCCTCACTCAGTCATTTCCTTGCCAGTATTAAGAATCGAACCTGCAACCTTTGGGTTACCAGTCTGTCTTTCCAACCATTAGGCCATGACTGCCCAATGGTAATGCACAAATGTTATCACTCCCAAAGAGAAGCACACTCACCTTTGCAGGTTTCTCTTTAGGAAGTAAATAAATAAAGTTAGAGGGGGAAATGAACTGACAGGCTCTCAGTCAAACAGAGAGAGCTGATATCGACAGAGACAGAAATATCACTATATTATAGACACTATATACAACACACTATATTAAAGGCACAGCTAAACGTGACATATTTTATAAAGGGTTTATGTGAAAATTGTTTTAAGTTCCCTTAGTGAAGTTAGTAAGTAACTTAGTAAAAAATGTCATTAAACAAATATTCAAAATATATTGTTGTTGTTGTTTCTTCATTAGTTTGGAGATTCGGTGAAAAAACATGTATTACAATATAAATATATTTAAAAAAATAATGTTAGGTGCCATTAATCGCGATTAGTTACAGAAAATGTTGGGGGGTTTTATCGATTGACAGCACATATATGTATGTATGCATGTATGAATGTTAATTCATACAAATGTGAAAATAACTTTTCCAGTTCAAAACATATTGGTTTATTTATTCATTTTAATATAAAGTCACAGCTCACATCTGTTTCTCATGCCCTGCACCTTTACAATGTTTTGAGTTATTGAGATCACTTTTGAGCCCTTGATCAAAGCATTTATGTCCAAATAAAACCTGGAGAATAATAAGGGTATTGCAAAAAATCAGAGGAAATGCTCTGCTACATAACCATTTTTCCCATGTCTCCTTATTTCAATTGCACAATTATCTGTGCCAATCAGCAGCTGCAAACTGCATGGAGCTACTTATAAAATACTGCATCTCTGGTCTCGAAACATAATCAGTGCTCGTCAGGGGGTCCTACAAATCATGGCTAGTGCCCACCACACAGGGCTGAGACTGCTATTATTTATTCATTTCTTCATTTATTCAGGGCTGGGGTAGGAAGAGAGCAGACCAGCAGTGCATTAATGCAGCACGCCAGCTTCTCTATGGTAATGCTGCATATAAATGTTGCTCTTAGCCACCTGCATGTGCTCGCAAAGAAAGTTATAGGCCTCTGGACAGTCTACACCCCACCCACGAGGCCCCTCTGGGCTTGTGGTGTGTTGCATAGCGTAATGGTGGTTTCGCTGCTCAAAAATGCCATCTAGCACGGGTCCAGCAATCCCCTAAAGACTTGTTTATTTTTACACTCATTATTTATTTACTGCGAAGTTCCAAAATTAGGTAATTGGATGCACAGACTGAATGCCAATGTGGTAAGGTGCCTTAATGTGAAAATAATGAGAAACGGTCCAGTCCCAGTTTCAGAAATCAAACTTATGATGGTTTCAGATGATTTTTCACTGCAAATCATTGCTTGCTAATGTGAGTGGACCTCTGTATATGCATATATGCTGTTTAATACTTGAAGAGCCTGTTTGTGGTGTGTTCCACACATCAGCTCTAGTCGGGTTTAGGTCGGAATTGGCGTCTGGGTCGTTGGAGAGAGAGATTGCTCTGATTGGCTGTTCAGTTTAGCAAACGAGTCAGTGCACAAAATCTAAAAAAAATTCAGAAAGTTTTCTGTAATGGGTAAGTTAAGGTAGGTTTAGGATTAGGGGATATAATATATAGTTTGTACATTATAATAATCATTATGTCTATGGAAAGTCCCCATAAAACATGAAAATTGTCTACAAACTGACATCATTGGACTGAGCTAGAAGTCGGCATGTCGGACTGTTCAAACAAAGGATATACTGTTCATCTGGAATGCTTTATATTACCTATATTTTTAAGTATAACTTAGAAAAAAGTGACAATGAGTTTCTCATTTACTCTAATCAATTAATCTCCTTTGCTATTCCACGGCGTAGGACATACGCCATCATCTTCAGACAGGGTTGCATAATTAATACTCATTAATAACCGAGAGAAGGAATAAAGATAACAAACAAAATTATGATTCAATGATGCATCTTGCCTGGCTATGATGTGCTGTGACTTCAGACCACTGGCTGCTTTGCAAATTAATTGAGATAGATAACCTGTCAGTAATAAAGGAATATGATATCCCCGCCTAACGAAGCAGTTGATAGAAATTATAAATTAGTTTGCAATGTGACGGCAATTCCATGATATGTGAAAAATATTACATAGGTTTCATTATGATGCATTAGACATTACATCTGAGTAGTTTTTCTGTTTGATTGATAAGGCTTATGTTCAGAATAAAATTATGCGACTCATGAATAACTACACCGCAATTGGTTTGCATCAGGACATTTCATGGCTAAGTGAGCAACATCACTCAAGATGTTCCATCTTCATTGCAAAAATGTTGTATTAGCTGCAGTTTAAGCCTAAATTTGGGGTCAGGCTGGAGGCCTATCCTTTGGTCACGCACCAACTGTGGCCAAATTGGATGAAATTTGCATGGCCACAGTTTAAAATTTGAGTTTAACACCGTGCAACATGGTGCCATAGTCTATGAGAGGTTTAATGATTAAGTCATTCAATTTAAAGATGATCAAAATTAGGATTTGATGCTCTGAATAGCTTGAGTTTGACTTAATTTATCATTCCGAAAAGTCTTATAATATACTGGAAGTGTGTGGTTAAGACCCCTGACTTTTTTCGGGATATTGTCCGGGTGCGGTTTTAGAAAATGGCTTAATTATAGGATGGAAATACTTACTGCCATTCAGAAGAAGAAAAAATAATAATTTGAACTGTCGTGTCTCCTCAATTCCCAACTCCCTCGGCCCAAAATACCATGAAATGAGCTGCAGTCACAAACTCTCACTTTGCTAGCTTCGTATTTAACCAGAGATGATGCAAACAGGAGAGCTGCAGACAGGAGAAAAAATAGGATTCATCAGAAATAGTAGCACTGATTCCATCTAGATCGACCAGTAAGTTATCATTAGCGATGAGGATGTTCAGTGT